ATGGGAGGTGCGGGTGAGAAGGCAGGCAGCAGAGTTCTGGATGCACTGGAGTCTGTTGAGGAGTTTGGAGGATGAACCGTAGAGCACCTATTGCAGCAGTCGAGGCAGGAGGTGATAAAGGCGTGGATGAAGGTTTCAGCAGACTGAGGGGAGAGGGATGGGTGGAGGCGAGCAATGTTCTGGAGGTGACAGAAGGCAGTTTTGATGATGTGTTTGATATGGTGTTCAAAAGATGGGTTCTGGTCAAAAATACCAAGGTTACGGAGGTTTGAGGAGGAGAAGACTGAGGAGCCGTTGATGAAGAGGATGAAGTTATTGTGGGTTTTGGTGAGTGTTTTGGGGTAAAGATGATTATTTCTGTTTTGTCGGAGTTGAGTTGGAGGAAGTTTGACTGTAGCCAGGACTTTATTTCAGAGATGCAGTTTGTGAGGGTGGAGTGTGTGGTCGAGGTTATGGATATGATTGACATGAAGAATCCATGTCATCTGCAAAGCAATTGAACTGGAGGCTGTGGCGCCGGATTATATGACCGAGGGGGAGGATGAAGTGCAAGGGTCTCCAAACTTTTTCCTCTGGTGAGCTACCTTTACAAAACAAAAATGCTAAAGAACTACTTATTTTAACAGTTGCAAGAGATGTAGTAAATATAAGAGCCACAGCCTTAGATTAAGGACAGTTAGACATATAAACCATTATTTATTTATTAGTGCACAAACCTGGGCATTAATATGGTAGATTTACAATGGTAATTAATCAAATTTTACTTATTCAGTACAATATGTATAATTCAGAAATACCTTGGTAAGCTAATTGGAATGGGGTGGAGAGCTACTGGTGCCTCCTGAGCTACAGGTTGGGGACCCCTGATGTAGAGTATGAAAGAGGAGGGGGCAGAGAATTGAACCAACCACATGCTTAATGCATGATTATCATTTTGGAAAAACATGTGTTAGCAGTAAATGCACTCAGTGGATCAGCCTTAGAAGACAAAAGTATGAACTTGTCATTTACTGTCCTCTTGTAACCATGCAGACTGCAGTTTTGCAGAGAGATGGCTGAGGTGGAGGTTTCTGCTTCATATAGTACAGCAGTACATAAGTCAACTCTTTTCAAATATTGTTTCAATGAAAAAAAAAATCAGACTTTATCTCATGAAATGGCAATGCCTGAAAGTTCAGCTTTTTTGAGGTACAGTGAAGAACTTTGGTCATGGCAGCTGTTTCCCTCTAGATACAAAGGTCATCTTGGGCTTAAATTGAAGCTTATAAACTTGGAGTTTTTCATGTACATTTGAGGCACTGGTATATGCAATAAAATGCTTGAAAATTATCACTTTTGATGACAATTTGTCAGGTGGACAGACATTTTTTTGTCTTTTGGGGTATGTTGAGGGTCATATTTGACAGCAGAAAGGCGGCAAGCCCCAGAATGTTTTTCTGCTAGTTTCCCCCTTGTGTTAGGATACAGCATGCAAAATTTTAGGGATATTTGACCATTTATGCAATTACAGTAGATTGATATTTACAGTTACATAATTTTGCCAATAGCTTTTCCTGAAAAGGGTGTTTTTGAGACCAAACGGGGCCGAGTTGGGGTTGGTCCCAATCAACTTGTGATTACAGTGGCAAACTGGGGCCAAACTCACTGCAACAGCCCGATGCGTCTCATTTAGAGAAAACAACTTCAAGTACAGAAACGATGCAAATTCACAGAGTCAAACACAACGAGGTACAAACAAAAAACATGGTGCAAATGAAAAAAAAACACGACAAATGTATCATCATCAAATGCACCGCAAATAGAGAAACGACACAAAGCACAAAATGATGAAAACACTTGCAAAAGAAAACCGCTGCATAAAGAGTCGCCACAATGGAAGTGCTCCATGCCTGCAGGGGGCGCTCAGTGTAACAGCTCAATGGAGAGACAAACTGACTGGAGGGAGAGAAAGGCTCTGCCTTTGAGAGAGACAGAAAACGGCAGACTGACAATAAATTACAGTGGGAACAAATGATTGTTAAGGTAATGTGGCTTTTATTTGATTATATTCATCTACTGGATTACAGTCATAACCCACAAAACTGTCAAATAAGTTTGTTTTTAACTGCGTGAACCTCGGAGCTTTGAGCTAAAAGTTTGGGTAGTAATTTGCAGGTAACGCGATGAAAAGTCCGCTCAAACTTTTATATTTGGACAGATTTGTCCAAGGGTTGCCAACTGTCCCAAACTTCAATCACAGCCTCAAGGTCCGTTCAGACCGCCGCTCCCTGGAAACAAGTGTCATTTCCCGGTCTTTTCCCAGAACGATGGACCAGGCTGAGAGAGACTTTAGTGCAGCGGTTTTCAATAGGTGAGTCTCGCCTCCCCTGGGAAGCGCCAAAGAGCCACTGGGATGGCGCGACTCACGCTGACTAAACCAGGACTGATCCCAGGATCGAACTAGGACTAAACCAGAACTGAATCAGAACTGAGTGCTGAGATGCACCCGGGGGTGTGCCTGCGTAGACCGTCGGGTGACCACGGGCATAAGGACTGGCACAGAGCTCCGCACCCCTCGGGACTAAAGCAGCTGTCACCTGATTGTGCTTTGCGGACACCTCCACGAGCTCACAGTTCTCTCTCTCGCTTTCAAGTCCAAGATTAGTCCTGGTCTAATCCTGGTCTAGTCCTGGTCTAGTACACTCGCTCATGTCTCCACTGTTCATGTCCAGAGTCACTGAGGAGGAGGACGACCAGAATCTTATATGACCTTAACAAGTGTGTGAGACAAAAATGAAAACATATCATTTGCTCATAAGTTTATCTGAATGTTTTTCAGTCTGTACTGACATTTGATTCATGTTGAAATGTGCCGTTTAATTGGTGTCTCTTTTGATAGTACCTAATTACATGTACTATAAGACTGTACTATAGTACTGCAGTTAAGCAGTGGTATTCCACATGATCATATTTGGCAAAGATAATTTGTTCACTTGGTGACAAAAAGGTAACACAACGAGAATACACTGACATACAGCTGTTTGTACTAACCTGCTAATGCAGTGTGTGTGTGTGCAATGGGTTTAATGTTTGATCATTCACATTATGATAAAGTATTTCCACAAGTTCCTTTAATTGTTTAACAAAACTATCTTTTCTCAGGAGAGATGTCTTTCTTTCTTTATAAACTGACTTAAATGCATTCCCGGTATAAATGTAATCCCTGGTCAATATAAAAATACTTAATAATGATAATAATATTTAATAATGCACATCTCATCACTGTTTTTTAAACTTTAAGGTAATTTAGTCTATTTTTATGTTTAACTTTTGCTAATTTTCGGTTTTAGCCACAAGATTTGATTGCGAATTATTAGAATAACTTGGTCACAAAGTCAGACAGTCTGATCACCTGTGTGTAAACTTTTACTAATCTGTGTGCGTAATCTGTGCGGAGCGTGTTAGCATTAGCATGAGCATTAGCAGCATATCTCACCTACACCTGTCCCATTTCGGCAACGGCCTGACTGTCTGCGGAGGCCAATTTGAGGGCTGCAGCCTTCGTGGTCCTCCGACCCAACCTTCAGAGGCTGCAGCCCTCCATTTGGCGTGAAACACGGCTATGGATCTATTATAAATAACTACACCTGTCTCATTACGGCACGGCCTTTGCGGTCCGTGGACACTGCTACTGAGAGCGCCCCCTGCAGGTTTGGAGCACTTCCGTGGTGGCGACTCTTGATGCAGCGTTTTTTCTTTTGTAGGTGTTTTCTTGGTTTTCATAATTTTGTGCTTTGCGTTGTTTCTCTATTTGCAGCGCATTTGATGATGATACATTTGTCTTTGTTTCTTGCAACGCATTTATTTCATCTGCACCATGTTCTTTGTTTGTACCTCATTTAAACTTGTGTTTGACTCTGTGAATTTGCATTGTTTCTGTACTTGAAGTTGTTTTCTCTAAATGAGACGCATTGGGCTGTTGCAGTTCATTTGGCACCGGTCGGCCACCGTAGGTGATGGCCCAAAATATAAGATAACAGGAAATAATACTAAAAAAAAGGTAGCAAAAAACATCCTGAGGGGTGAACCTGGCTCCCGGCCTATAAGGACAGAGACAGGCTGCGCACTTTTGCAAAATGCAGTTTGGATGCATGTTTTTTAGAGGAGATTAAAAGTGAATGAAGACGGGCACACTAGCCCCGTTAGGTACACGTACGGAGCAGCATTTTCTGTATGTAGATTTCAGAAAATAGAATCCAACCTACTTTTTGATGCTTGACACGAGCAGAAGCACGGATTCTCAAAATTTAATTACAATTAATAATACAGGTTTATTGAAAGACGCCAAAAGCATTAGGTTTGTGTAACAAATACCAATCAATAGCTATAATACTATCGCTGTAGATCGCATACTAAAGCAATGGAGTCCTGCAGCTATGCTGCAAGGCATCCAATAAATGATAATCACTGGGCAAAGGGGCTGGTCCAGACCAAAACGTCCAGGGTCAATTTCCTCTGTCAGTCCAGCGCTGAAATCAGCTCTTATGTCTCAACAGTTACTCTTTAAGTAACCACTCTTACCTGAGTAATGGTTTTCCCAAATACTCTTTTACTTGAGTAATTTATTGAACCATCGCTTTGTACTTCTACATGAGAAATCTTTTTTTTTTCTTTTTTTTTTTTAAGTTAAAGGTGCATTGTGTAACTTCTCTGGTAGAGAGTCTGTCAAATAATTTTCTCTGAGGAGATGTTATTGCTTTGTTTGAAATGTTTCACAGTATGGTATTAAACCTTTTTATCTTCATGGAAACCAAAGCAGACCAACTAATAGATCAGATCTGTGGAGAGGCAACCTCACTCACAGTCAGAATGCCTGTTTTTCTAGATATTTTTGAGCAACAGAACCATCTGTAATTAAATAAATGTAGAGATGTTTAATGTCAATTTTTGGCTCCTCCTTCCACCTCTGGATTTTATAGTTGTCATGTGTGTTGAGAATTAAAAAGTCTGTTCAAACTTACAGTTTATTGTTGTTCCCATTATTGTCCAAGGAGTTGCCCACACGGATCTCAGCACCGTCCAGTCTCTCAGGGCAGCAGTCTCCTCTGTTTGTGATGGTGATGGAGGTAACAAAGTGTGGGTTTTTCAGGTCCACTCTCCACCAGGGGTCAGTGGTGGTGAATGTGTGGGTGCATGACTTATGATAGTAGATAGAATCACAGTTACCGTCATTAGCATTGGAAGCAGCTCCGAGCTCATTGTATGTGTCAATCTGGGTCGCTTCTCCGGTAAGAGCCAAATTAACTGAAAATCAACAAAAACAAATGTGTGGATTGCAGAACAGTTAGGCAAACACACAGAATTTCTCATTCTTACTTGTACTAGCAGAAGCTGTTTCCACAATGAGCAAAAACAAAACTGGAAGCTTCATAATTTTTCTGTAAATAAATTATATCTATAAATACAATATGGTTCATAGTAAGGCTGTCAAAAGAATTGAAAACTTAAATGGTCATATTTTTATACCTTTCCACTTTCAAGGCACTCAAACCCATATACCAATGATTTTATGTTCTACCAACTGAGCTGCTGTCGCCCCTGACACCAACTAGATAATCATTTGGACAAGTATTAATAACAAGGTAAAGGTACACTTTATTGGCCCTGTAGGGAAATTTGTCGTCTGCATTTGACCCATCCTTCAGTGTTACACGGTTACAGTGCTTGGGGACCCATCTTCATGATTTTGTTGCTAGACTTGGTCAGGACTTTGGCAGGAGAATTTGACCTGTAGGTGTCTTCAACATACAGGCACTTTTGCTGTTACTTAGACTTAGACAAACTATATTGATTTACAAGGGGAATTATTTGGACACAGTAGTTCACACATCACAATATAATATAATAACAAAAAGCAAATACAGCCCTTGTGTGCATCTACACTGGACCCCACCAATCTCCAATCTCCACTGAACTAAAAGTTGAAACAAATCTAAATGAAACAAAACACAAGTGCAGTTCTGTTTTTGATGTGAAAACAATATTATACCATGCTAGTTAATTAAATTGCGTAATACTGGAGGTAATACTGTATAATATATAAATATATATAATACTTCAAACTATAATTTTTTGTATAATGTCTATCACAGAATAAAGACCTGCATAATAATATTTGTAATATTTGAAATGTAAAAGCAGAACTTACCTTAATTTGAGAAGAGAGACAATATGCTTCAGATGACACTGCTGCTGCTGCTTCAGGTCAAGAGTCAGTGCCTCTTTTTACACACAAGCTGTGTTTTTATCATCTCTTTCCAGTACAAACACTCCCTCATGAGGTGACGCAATGTTACATGAATCATATCTGCAGAGCTTCCCTGCTCCAGTTATTTTGCATTAATTGCTGCAAATGCCTGTTCAGCCAATTCACTGATGACACATTTGATTACTTATACTTTTTTTTTTTTTATAGCTTCTATGTATGTATGTATGTATGTATGTATGTATGTATGTATATATATATCAAAATAAGAAGCAAGCGCTCTGTCTGTGCCAAATAGTTTTCCAGTGCTTCAACAGGACACATGGACTTGATTTGTTTAGTCACAGCTGCATACACACACTGGAGAGTTACTTGGTAAATGCATTAAGTTCATCTGTGCTGTGAGCTTATTCCCTGTGTTTTTAATGTTTCAATGTTAATTCACCATTCACCATGTCACTGAGTTCCTTGACATGATGTGTATGTTTCTGAACTTTGGAGTGTCAATGGGGTTGGGATATGATGTCATATGGACTATGAGTGGCATATGCTAAAGGTTGGAGACCGACTCCTTTGCTGTCCCATATACAATCTGTGATAAACATGTGTTGGGTCAAAACTTCTGTGTATGTTTCTGCTGAGGAAACAGGCAACAGTTAAACTGAATAATAACAGAGAGAAAATAAAAAGCACGGTGCTTTGTAAAAGAAGTGTTTGGGAGTAGAACCTCACAATGTCGTCCTCTTTTTTTAGGTCCTGTGTTCCCACATTTCCTTTATCAGTCTGCATCAGAATTTATCCCCATTTCTCCCAAGTTGTTCATCACACCTGACCTCTTCTCCAGCAGCAGTTGACAACAGAGGTTGTGGTAAAAACTTTCATAAAAATTTAAAAAATGACTTGAATTAGAGTTTAATGTTGAGAAAAATCTTAAAAATAAGAAAAATCTTAGAAATAAGAAAAATCTTAGAAATAAGGGAGCATAGGGCTGACCTCCGTTGTCGTTAACTTAGCATTGTTTTGCTGCAGTAGTTTTTCTTACTGATCATTTAAACTGGTTAACAGTTGTACTTTATCCATTAGCCTTAAAGGTCCTATATAACACAAAATTGACTTTTGCGCATTTTTAGTCATGTTAGAATGTTGTCAAATCCTCAGAAACATACCTGGAGTTGTGTTTTATTTCCCTCAGTCTGTTTACATCTCCAAAGCTCTAAATGCTCTGTTCCACCTTGTGTTGTCATTGACAAGTTAGCAGCTACTTTTTACCTTTTGTCTAGTAAAGCCTAAATTATATCTGCTTAAATATTTTTGTGTGAATGAAAAAAAGAACAGCTCTGGGTATGTTTTTGATGAAGAAACAACATTAGAACAGATCAGACAATAGCACAATATGAGTGTTACGGGCCTCAGCCCTTTGGTGTTTATTATTAATGCTCCTGTTGTTCTCTATTTTCTTTCTGTGTGTTATGCAGTCAGTTCGCGAGCCCTGTACTCCAAAACGTGGGAGCTCCAGACGGAGGCTTGGTGTCGGATCGCTCTGGGGATTGGCCAGTCACCCTTCGGCCACCACCAGTCCGTGGATGCCACCTGCTCGGGGCGGCTGGATCCCTGCAGCAAACTCGCCTTTTGTTTGGTTGATTTTGGTTGTCTCATTTTTGCTGTTGCCTTTGTTAATTTATTTCATTGAGGCACTTTGTTTTTGTAGTAAAACTTTAGTTAAGTTTTTTTTTTATGTTGTACTTATCTAGAGCTCCTTAGTTTAGTAGTTTATTTTTGTATAAATCCCTTTTATTTTCAGCACCACTTTGTGTTTTTTTCTCTCTCTCTTCCCTACACTGTAAAATAATAAATCCACAAGTTTTTTGTTAAACCTTTAACATCTTGGTTTCTTTTATTGTTACTTCCCTTCTCCCCGAGCAAAAGGAACGTAACAATGGGCCTTTTAAGGCTTGAACCAGTAGGGGGCGGTACTAGAGATCTTCATCCATTACCCCTGTGTTTGTAGCAGCATGTGACAGTGATTTCATTTACATCAGCCAAAACTACATGAACTTTTCAGGCAGCATATCAGCTAACACGGTTCTAGCATGGAATAGTAGAAGTTTGGTAAAAGCCCCTTTTCAAAATGACATCACTATCAAATGCTTTTCTACTTTTGAACAGCAGGTGGCAGCATTGACCTTAAAACCACAAACATACAGCAGTTATATAATATTTAATAATTATTATTATACTTGTACACTTGTATAGCGCTTTTCATGACACTCAAAGACGTTTCACATCGATCCAGACAGACACAAACACAAATGAAAGAAACAGATAAACAGGAGATGCAGTTATTTAAAGGCAGTTTGGAACAGGTGAGTTTTCAGGACTTTTTTTGGAGATCTTGAGTGTAGATGAGTCTCTGATGGGTTTGGGCAGGGAGTTCCAGAGGGTGAGAAGGCCCTGTCCCCTCAGGTCTTGCGCTTAATCCTGGTCTGGTGAGACAGGAGGTTGGGTGTGGTGGTGGAGGAGCTCAGAGAGGCAGGTGGGGGCCAGGTTATGGAGGGACTTGTACACAATGGTGAGGAGCTTGAATTGGATACGCTGGGGGATGAGGAGAAAGTGGAGATCTCTGAGGACAGGGGTGATGTGTTCACTGGAGGATGTGTGGGTGAGAAAGCAGGCAGCAGAGTTCTCAATGCACTGGAGTTTACTGGCTCTATTCACGCCTACGTCACCAACCAGGAAGACGTTTGGAAAGATGCAATTACAACTTCTGGTGTAGTTACCGACACTGGGCTCACCGACTGACTGATAAAACCCATTGTAATACCGTATTTTTCAGACTATAAGTTGCATGGTTTGGGTGTTCCTGTGACTTATACTCCGGTGTAACACATATATTCAAATTTTCACTCTGACAGCTGTGAGAGGGTGCTCTAGGCATGTGTGTCAGTATCTGCTACTACAATTACTTCTGTACTACTGTCACTTGGCTCTACTGTGCATGTCTCCTACTGAAAGAGCCTTAAACAAGGTTTTACAAATAAATACAAAAGTAAGAGTTACAACAACAACTCAACTGTTAATTTAATAATATTTCATAATATTTAGGCAGCACATCTTTGCAGTAAAGCCAGTGAGTTTTCAAGAGATTTATCACTACTTACGAGGATACGTGGACACAGATTTAGCAGGTAATACATCAGACTCATATCAGGCGCTGTTATTCTGCCAATTAAAGACCACATGAGACATCCAAACTCTGCTCGCCTCCGTGATTGCATGGGCCTGGGTCTGATCTCTGTGAGTGCAGGGGCCTGGGTCTGACCTCTGTGAGTGCAGGGGCCTGGGTCTGACCTCCGTGAGTGTGGACCTGGGTCTGACTTCTGTGAGTGTGGGCCTGGGTCTGACCTCTGTGAGTGAGAGCCTGGGTCTGACCTCTGTGAGTGCAGGGGCCTGGGTCTGACCTCTGTGAGTGCAGGGGCCTGGGTCTGACCTCTGAGTGTGGGCCTGGGTTTGACCTCCGTGAGTGTGGGCCTGGGTCTGACCTCTGTGAGTACGTGGGGCTGGGTCTGACCTCTGTGAGTGTGGGCCTGGGTCTGACCTCTTAGTGTAGGTCTGGGTCGGACCTCTGTGAGTGCGTGGGCCTGGGTCTGACCTCCGTGAGTGTGGACCTGGGTCTGACTTCTGTGAGTGTGGGCCTGGGTCTGACCTCTGTGAGTGAGAGCCTGGGTCTGACCTCTGTGAGTGCGCAGGCCTGGGTCTGACCTCTGAGTGTGGGCCTGGGTTTGACCTCTGTGAGTGTGGGTCTGGGTCTGACCTCTGTGAGTGTGGGCCTGGCTCGGACCTTTGTGAGTGCGGGCCTGGGTTGGACCTCCGTGAGTGTGGGCCTGGGTCTGACCTCTGTGAGTGCACGGGCCTGGGTCTGACCTCTGAGTGCGTGGGCCTGGGTCTGACCTTTGTGAGTGCTGGCCTGGGTCGGACCTCTGTGAGTGTGGGCCTGGGTCAGACCTCTGTGAGTACGTGGGGCTGGGTCTGACCTCTGTGAGTGTGGGCCTGGGTCTGACCTCTTAGTGTAGGTCTGGGTCGGACCTCTGTGAGTGCGTGGGCCTGGGTCTGACCTCCGTGAGTGTGGACCTGGGTCTGACTTCTGTGAGTGTGGGCCTGGGTCTGACCTCTGTGAGTGAGAGCCTGGGTCTGACCTCTGTGAGTGCGCAGGCCTGGGTCTGACCTCTTAGTGTAGGTCTGGGTCTGACCTCCCTGAGTGTGGGCCTGGGTCGGACCTCTGTGAGTGCGTGGGCCTGGGTCTGACCTCCGTGAGTGTGGGCCTGGGTCTGACCTCTGTGAGTGTGGGCCTGGGTCTGACCTCCGTGAGTGTGGGTCTGGGTCTGACCTCCGTGAGTGTGGGCCTGGGTCTGACCTCCGTGAGTGTGGGCCTGGGTCTGACCTCCGTGAGTGTGGGTCTGACCTCCATGAGTGTGGGTCTGGGTCTGACCTGCGTGAGTGCGTGGGGCTGGGTCGGGACATACATTATTGTGTTCTTCATACTGTCAGAGAGCAGCTCTGATTTGCAAGAGTTCCCCATTACACAAAAAATGCAGAGAATATTTTGGGTTCGCGTCAGATTCGGACAGTGGGCTTTGTGTTGTGCGCAGACTCTGGTCACTCTGGCACTCAGTATGTAAAGACAAAAGTAAATGTGTTGAAGTTGTGTTTAATCCCAGTGCTTTATTAAACCAAAGCCTCGCTCCTGTGCTCTGTCCGAGGGAGGAGTTTTCTCTTAGGTCCGGTCATTAGTTCATCCTCTCTGTGTTGGTCACAGCCACAGACTGTGAGCTGTAGAAGTCTATGGTCCTGGACTGCGGGAGACCCTGCACTGCACCGGGAACATGTTTTGGCTAACCAAACACTTAAATGCACAAAACTGAATGTTACGTCGATTTTCTAATGTTTTCCTGATCAAACACTTTCTCAAACTCTCTTCACTTCTGCTCCTCTCCACAAGTGTCACTTTTTCCTCGTGTC